AATTTCAAATTTTATATAAATTATTCTATTGCTTAGTTAAGGTTTATGAGTACGATCATAGTTTTAAAGGGACTATACCTTGGAGAAATTTTAATTCTACTACAAATTTGATACCACTTTTCAAGTTTACTATTAATGAATAACTATTTTCATAAATACCATAATTTGTGATAAAATAACACAAAGATATTTTTAAATAGTTATAGAATATTTATAAATCCAACCTTAACCCCTTAATACTAAATACTAAACAATATCACTAAAGACTAAACCCAAATGTTAGTATATTTTTTGATTCGTGGTATTTTGGAAAAATGGTACTTAACTTATGGCATTTCTAACAATTTCTCATATACCTTTATCATTTTATTTTTAAGGGAAGATTAATTAATTTAGTAATATTGGAAAATATACAATAATTTTCTCTTATTAAAATTTTGTATTTTAATGTATCCTAGTCTATAAAACAAGTAGTATTTTTCAACAAAAAATACTTAAGGATCGAATCCACAGAGAGCTAGGACGCCAAAATATCTAATCCGACTAATAAATCTAGTTTGAATATGTTTAAAGTAAATTGCAGGTTTGAACATGCTCAGTTGGTTGATTGAGGTTTGTAACAATTTGAAAAAGTAGCTAGACTTAGGGTTTATATTCAGGTAGTCAGGATTACAGAGATATAAATGCTATTAGTTGTTTACATGATATTATGGAGTTCAACTATAAGAACTAATCGATCAGCCACCACATGTTTGGACTTGTCTATTGACTAGATGTGCGTTGCTTAAGAGAACTTGTTGGACCTGTCACTATCAAACTAAAGAATCTGTGCCTCTATTTCTTGTCACTCTCACTACCTCTGGTCATGCTTCACTTGGCTCTATCCTCTTTGTCTTCATCAGAAATCCTACATAATTATTTGTTTATGTTTCTCTATTTTAGCAATTGTTTAATGATGTGTATTGCTTATTTAAAAGCTGCTTCATAACTTGTAACACTTACCAGAATCAATAGACAAGTTTCTCTCACTAAATTTTGTGTGGTTTCCCTCTCTTACTTGTGTCTAACTAATCTATATTATAATGATACACTTTCAAGGCTCCTAAGCCTATCCACCTCAGCAAGTTTACGGGTCCCACGTATGTTATTAGGGAAAACAAAAACGTATAACATATTGTAAAATTAAATGTTATCCATGAGTGATGAAATGGCCCAGTGGTGTAAGTTGGGTACTAGAAGTTGGTACCGCGAGTGCGCGGGTTCGAAACGCAGTGTTTGCATGTATTTTTTTTTTTAATTTAGGCTTTTCGGGATACCTAAAAGCTTAGGGAGATTCAGAATGATTTTTTTCTGCTGGTTGTTGGGATACAAAATGGCTTAAGGATTTGAAACTTTATGAGACCATCTTAGATACTTTTATAAGAAATGTTATCATGTTCTAACCTCCAATATCATTTCAATTCAGTTATAATAATCAAATAAAATAAAAACAAGTTTTTTCAATAATAAATATTTACCCCGAACCATTCAGATCGGCCATAAATCTCATATACATCACATTATAATGATACACTATCAAGGCTCTTAAGCATATCCACCTCAGCAAGTTTACGGGCCCCACGTGTGTTATTAGGGAAAACAAAAACGTATAACATTTTGTAAGATTAAATGTTATCGATGAGTGATGAAATGGCCCATTGGTGTAAGTTGGTGACTAGAAGCTGGTACCGCGAGTGCGCGGGTTCGAAACGCAGTGTTTGCATGTAATTTTGTTTTTTTAATTTGAGCTTTTCGGGATATCTAAAAAGTTAGGGAGATTCAGAATGATTTTTTATGCTGGTTGTTGGGATACAAAATGGCTTAAGGATTTGAAACTTTATGAGACCATCTTACTTTTATAAGAAATGTTATCATATTCGAACCTCCAATATCATTTCAATTCAGTTATAATAATCAAATAAAATAAAAACATGTTTTTTCAATAATAAATATTTACCCCGAACCATTCAGATCGGCCATAAATCTCATATACATCACAATTTTTTTTAAAAAAAAAAAATATATATATATATATATATATATACAACATAATTTCAGAAAGAAAATTACACTAATAAACTCATGTCCCTTTTTTGTCTTGTCTCCATTAAATTATTTTTTTACATGAAAGCACTAATAACAGTAATGCTCGATAAAATCACTAATAAAGGGAATGCTCGATAAAATCACTACGAAGATAAAATATGAAAATATCAACCCATATGAATTTGATGTTTATTCTTTTATCAGATTAATCAAGTTGTGTGACTTCTAATGTTTCATTCATCACCATTATAGATAAACCAGATAAACAAATGTTAAAAAAACCCAGCAAAGTCTCATACACAAAACTACACAACACATCAACAATGTATCCAACCCCCGCGCTTGCGCGGAGACTATGCATCTAGTATTCACAATGAAAGGGATTAAGCATTATAGTTTATAGACTGCCTTAACTTTTTGTCTCTTAAAAGCATCATTATCCTAGAGATCCTTTAAGAGTCTCTTAATTAATTTTTAATACTATTTAAGTAGTAAATTTGGTTAAGAGATTTAGTTAAGAACTTTCAACTTTTATGTCCTCCATTACAAATCTCTTATTTCAGGGTTCTTAAAAATTATTAGCAAATGAACATATGAACAAAAAAACAGAGAAAAAAATGAACACAAGACTACACAAGTGACATAAGACTTCAAAAAACCTTTCATTTTAATCCTTAGCATATGAACAAAAAAAACAGAGCAAAATTTTTTAAGAGTTCTAACAAGAACCTGATGTCTCATGCTTCAATGAGTTCTGTTAAACGCCTATGCTTCTCTTTATCATCATCTCCACCATCGTCTTCCTCTTCCTCATAAGGAACCTTTACCTGATCCAGTGATTGCAGTTGCACAAAGATCAGGCCCTGTAAGTGCTAAAGGTACACATACTGCCTGCATTTGCAACATAGTTTCCTCACCTCGCAATACGTTGTGGACACCTGAAACCAAATCACCCCAAACATCTTACTCAATAGGCCAAGGTTCAAACTACACTTTGTGCTACAAACACTCATTATCATTTCCAAAATCTATGGACTTGAATCATCAAACATGTCCGAACTAATTTTAAAACCATTCTCACATCAAAGTTCTATGTCGTCACATATACACACGTCTCTTCATGCACTCTCACTTCCAGTATTAAAAGCTTATTAATTACATTCTCATTGGTCTATTTTCCAGTATTACGTTTTTATGACAGTATATGCTTCAACTGATTATCACATTTTTGCATTTGTTTCATTGATATGAGAGACAACTGGAGGATGTGAAAAATGTGATGGACTCACCACGTTGCTGCACAGAAACCACATAAACCCTCTGTGGTCATTAGTAGAAAGGCATTATAATCGTTTCACATATTCATTCATGGACCCAAATTAATCTACAATTACATACATATCTCGACAAACTGCAGCCAGCCAAAAAAAAAAAAAAAAGTAAGAAAAGGAGACTCCAAGATTGAACATGGATAGTAGCAAAATCACTAATCTTACAGATTGGTTTAATCTAAGGCAGGACAATACTAATACACAAGAAACAGAGCATCAACATTACCCCTATGAACTAAATCAACGCTGGAGCAAAACTGATACGTTTGGTTACAAAATTTGAGTATACCACTGGTTGTTCTTGAAATGTGAAATCTTTACATGAGACTATCTATATCCAAGTGCTAAAGTGTTAAACTTTGAATGATGCAAAGACACCAAACAAGTTTGAACCATATCAAATGCATAAAGGACAGATCTTTTATTATTAACCATATGAAACCCAGAAGTATCGCAAAGGAGAGAGAGATAGTTTAAAGAGACCTGATAGTTTCGATTGAAGCTGTAGCGAAGCTGAGGATCGATCTCGAGAGAATCTTCGTCATTGGCGAGACTACCTTTATTGGTTCCACGGCCACGGACGTGCATCTTCGACATGCCGTCAGCGTCCTTTGTGACCTTAAGCTTTGCACCGCTGAACTTATCAGAGTCATCATCGTCGCCTCTCCACAGCGCTTTCGATAACAGCTCCTTCTTCTTTGACATCCTTGTCTTCGGCTAATCTTCGAGGTGGTGAGTTTCCTTGTCGGAGAACGTCTGATACACTAAAATTGGATCTTTGTCTACTGTCAAGTTAACAGTGTAGTTGTAATACATTTAGATTCAATTCCAGAGGACCAGCCTACACTTTATCTTTATGGGATCAAAATATAGCTAAAACAAGAGGGGTTTTTAAAGTAAAAGAAATAACTTAAAAGACAAGTAACAAACGAAGGTTGTTTTCAAGAGGTTAAAGGCGCTAGTCTAGGGTTTCCTAACGGGAAGGGAGTTCGCTAGCCGAGCTACTATTCAAGTTCAATATTCACGAGTCCAAACTCGGATCACTCAGTTTGAATCAACCCACTGTCGTGGTGTTGATCGCCTTTGCAGAACTGCCTTGATACCTAAACTGTCGTTTGGAACAAGACATGACAGCAAGCTTTAAAGATCAAGTCCGATAAGTTCACAGAACACCCTAATATCTACTCTCGCTGACTAGGGATGTTAAGCTCATTCAATTCGTATCAGATTATTAATCAACGGTTAGCTAAATCAATTAATCTTGGTTCATGCAACAAGTGATCAGTTCGATGCAAGCATTAAGGTGAGAATATGAATGTAGACAATCTTAGGTTAACTTATCTAAGCTCAGCCAACGAAACCAATCCCTAGAACCCTAAACTAACTTGGTGAGCTACTCAGACATAACACAAGAACAGAGCATGATTTCTGAATAATACTGCATGTAAAATAAATATGAAATAAGAGGGTTCAGGATGATCTTCTCAAGGAGATAGATGAAGTCGTCTCCCTTACAAGTAGCAATTGCTCAAATCAAAGCTCTCAAGTCTTTCTTGCGTAAAAACTAAGGTAAAAAGCCTAGGAAAAATAAAAGAAGAATATATAGTAAGCCATAGGCGGCAGAAGAGAAAAGAAGGGAAAACTAGGGAAAATCCCGAGATAGAGTCTTTATTTCCTAGATCGTCGCGGAACAGCTTGACAAACTGTTCTGATCACAAGGGAACATCTTGCCAGACTGTTCGCTTCAAGAAAATCTTCAAAACAGATTCCTTTCTACTCTTTTCTTTCCACACGATCGTTCTCCTCATCTCTGGAACTCTTCAACCTGTAATGACTAAAAACAACTGGAAAGACTCGATAAAACCATTAAAACCATTAGTAGAGGATACCTATTCTATGTCAAAAACAAAATATATCAACTCCCCCAGACTTAGACTCTTGTTTGTCCTCAAACAAGCCAAGTATCCAAAACAGGGAAAGTAGTTTGAAAGAGTGGGAACTCGCTCATTTTCAGCAACCATACATTAACCACAAATCTCTGAACCATATAAGCAGATCGACTAAGACAGCACATCCTTCTCCATGAACCCCACTGACAAGCTGTTCAAGCGATTCCATACTCTGTATCTCAGACCTGCAAAAGTTACCCCTTCCAGACAAAACTCCTTACATTCGTTAAGAGTAGCGTGAGCTTCTCATTGTAGGCATTAATTAAGGGAAGAACGGTCTAGG